ATCAGATTATGTGAAAGACACAAATATTTCTTCACGAAGAGCATGGAAAGTAGAGAGTCGTGTATGATGTTATTTCAGGGTAAATATAGAGTGCCCAAAAGTTGGTTTACCGAGATAAAGTGTAACTGAGTATTTCAAGTTTTTAGCAATTGTTTTTTAATAGTTTTGATAGTTTTGACTAATGCATCGTTAATAATGCAATGTTAATAATTGTGATGTAAATAAATAAGTATAATGTAAATAAATAAGTATGATGTAATTTTGATATAAATAAAAATAAAATGTGTGTCTATCTCGGTAAACTAACTTGTGGGCCACTCTGTATCTCTTTTTTTAAATTTAACGCCCACTATGAAATATATTATGATATATATTCATGGACTATGTATTCCAAAAAGAACTGTAAATAAAGAAGGAAGAACGGTAGCTTACCTTATTGTTTTCCTGACTGATTGATACTCGGCAATATCATCCCTACAAGGAAATAATTAAGTGTTTTTTCTCTGAGAATTATGTGTCTTAGAAGATTAGAAATCACGGAGAAAAAAAAGAATATATAAAACGATTCCTTAAACTGATCTTTTTTCCAGTTGTAGACGCATTCAGAATATTAGAAACTTCTGTAATGGGCTTGTACGTTTGCGTTTTCAAAATAGAGATATTTCATAACTTACTTTTCATTATATTCGACTTCACTCAGAAAATATCTATGATTCGTTGCATTTATTGTTGTTAATATTAGGTTTAATCTAAAAGAAAAAAATCATTTACTGCAAAAATGTAGCCAGAAAATTTATGAAAACAGTCGAAAAATGTTTTAATGTTAGTAATCGTTGACAAATAACTAGAGAAAACTCAAACGACTTTGTACAGCCCAACCCTTCACCTTGCCTCGTATATAACAGTATTAACAGTGAATTTGCATACAAAGAAAATCTTATGTCCAAACTACTCTTCTAAAATTTGCAAAATAAAGTAAAAGACAAAGAAATTTCCAGTTTCTAAAGCTTCTATTTTTTTGTTTTTTTCTGATTCTCAATCAAAAGTTTTGTGTTGTTCTGTTCTATTGCCTCTTTTAATTTATCATCCGCCATATTGTAATCCCGCATATTTCTCTTTTCTGTGGCAAACTTTTCACCAATCCTGCCTTTTTTTCTTATCTGTGGCAAAATTTTCACCAATTCTGCTTTTAGCCACTATTAGTGGCAATTATTTGTAGCTAAAAGCAGACAACGGAAATATTCATAGAAAGATGAAAATGTGATTGAAATGTAGTAAAGCGGACTCTGATCGCTTGATTTAATATATCCTTTTGTTGAATATTAAGACTTTCTATTGTATTATTATGTCTTATTTGCTGGATGATTTCGTATCCCTCCATAGAATTATCGCACATTGTTTGTGAGACCAAGGCTGATGTAGGAGATAAAGCTGACGAGTGACTGTATGAGGCTAACTCTCGACAATTGAAGATGGATGATTATAGTGTGCTTGCTATGAATATTTATATAGCAACAAAATCGTATTTTGTGCGATGCGAGGAGAAAGAAAAAGAGGCAAAAAAATGTTTTTATGTTACATATCGTTGATGTACTAGATTGACAGTTTGGCCGATTGTTCATGAGAATATTATGTTGTGCTTATTCAACCATACAAATTCATTTCCAATTTGTGAAAACCGCACTTGCAAAAATTTGCATCGTCACCATATACGGTTGAACAAGCACATGATCTGTGTTGAACTCTGTGGACCGGGAGCCACAATCAATAATGACCAAAAATATTGATACCCAGTAAAATATCCAGATATTGTTAGCAGACATTTTCATGTGTCTGAAACTGTAGTGGACCCTTCCTAAGATATATTGCTTGTTACTGTTGTGTTCATTTTCAATGCTTTGGAACTGCTTCGCTTTATACCAACAAACTTGTATCTTTTGCGCTGCGAGAAGAAGGAAAAGAGACAAAAAAATATACTTTTGTATTTCTTTTTGTCGATATACCTACATTACTAGTTTTTGCGAAGGTTACTCTATACGAAGGTTATCATGTGCTTGTTCAAGCGTACATGATGACGATGCAAATTTACATGCGTCTGAAACTGCAGCGGCCCCTCTCTATGAGATATTGCTTGTTATTGTTGTGTTCATTTTCAATGCTTCTGGAACTGCGCTGCGACAAGAGAGAAAAGAGACCACAAAATGTAGTGTTGTATATTTTTGCAAGTGTATTTTTCACAAATTGCAAATGAATTTGTATGGTTGAATAAGCACAACATAATATTCCCATAAACAATCGGCCAAACTGTCAATGCAGTACATCAACGATATGTAACATAAAAACATTTTTTTGTCTCTTTTTCTTTCTGCTCGCATCGCACAAAAGACGATTTTGTTGCTATATAAATATTCATAGCAAGCACACTATAATCATCCTTCTTCAATTGTCGAAAGTTAGCCTCATACAGTCACTCGTCAGCTTTATCTCCTACATCAGCGTTGGTCTCACAAACAATGTGCGATAATTCTGTGGAGGGATACGAAATCATCCAGCAAATAAGACATAATACTACAACAAGTCTTAATATTAAACTGAAGGACATATCAAATGAAGCAGCCAAAGCAATTGCAGCAGAATTGAAAATAAATTTAGCGTTAAAAAGCCTTAGTATCACATGGAGTTTATCGAACGAAGGGGTCAAAGCAATTGTCGAAACATTGAAAGTAAATTCGACATTAACAAGGTTGAATATTGCAAACGGTATAGGAGAAGAGAGCGCTAAAGCCATTGCAGAAGCATTGAAAATAAATTCAACATTAACAAGGCTCGATATTGAAAGCCAGAATATATTGAAAGAGGGCGCCAAAGCTTTAGCAAAAGCACTGAAAATAAATTCAACATTAACAACTCTCAATATTGCATTCAACAATATATCGGTAGAGGGCGCTGAAGCCATTAGCGAAGCACTGAAAATAAATTCAACATTAACAACTCTCAGTATTGCAGGCAACACTATATGGGAAAAACCTGCTAAAGTTATTGCAGAAGCACTGAAAATAAATTCAACATTAACTAGTCTGGATATTGAACGCAACATTATATCGGAAGAGGGCGCTAAAGCGATTGGCGAAGCACTGAAAATAAATTCAACATTAACAACTCTCAATATTGCATACAACAGTATATGGAAGAGGGCGCTAAAGCGATTGGCGAAGCACTGAAAATAAATTCAACATTAACAACTCTCAATATTGCATACAACAGTATATGGAAGAGGGCGCTAAAGCCATTGGCGAAGCACTGAAAATAAATTCAACATTAACTAGTCTGGATATTGCAAGCAACGGTATATCGGAAGAGGGCGCTAAAGCAATTGGAGAAGCATTGAAAATAAATTCAACATTAACAAGTCTGGATATTGGATACAACATAATATCGCAAGAGGGCGCTAAAGCCATTGGAGAAGCACTGAAAATAAATTCAACATTAACAACTCTCAATATTGCAAGCAACGATATATCGGAAGAGGGCGCTGAAGCCATTGCAGCAGCACTGAAAATAAATTCAACATTAACAAGTCTGAATATGAGTTATAGCAGTATATCGGAAGAAGGTGCCAAAGCCATTGCAGAAGCACTGAAAACAAATTCAGCATTAACAAGTCTGGATATGAGTCGAAGCTTTATATCGGAAGAAGGCGCCAAAGCCGTTGCAGAAGGATTAAAAATGAATTACACGTTAACAAGTCTCGCTATTGGAATCCACACTATACCGAAAGAAGTAGTTCAAGCAGTTGAAGAAGCACTGAAAATAAACACAACATTAAGAAGTCTTTCTATTGAAACGTACAGCTCCGGGTTGTCTGATGAGTTCGCAGCACTTGAACAAATGTTTACGATGAACGCAAGATTAACTACTACTTACGTCCGGCACGTGACACCGTAGATTGACAGCACGGTATCTTCTTTAATACACACTATTAATCCATTTATTTCGCCAATCATTGTATACGATTGTGGTGGACGTCTTGTACGATAAAGAAAAGTAATGTCATTGATGGATTTCATTCCAGCTTGACG